TTGATCCTTAAGACTTCCTCTAATGAGTTTATTACAGGAAAGAAACAGTCCGGAGCTCTACAAAGTAAAAATTCTATTTCAAGGATCCGGATTGTCTGTTTTTTAATATCCCAGCTGTTTTATCTCCCACAAATTCAATGTTTAAGAATAAAACATTCTCCCGAATTGTGAGAGTTCTTTCGACTTGACATCTTGGTTTCAGATCACCACCAATAATTGCGATGGATTGGAAGCCATTCTCCAGAAGTTTTTGTTTGATTATACTCAGCTCATCATCAGTTGTGTCTTTAGCTCGTGTTCAAATTGTAATTTATCAGAGTCATTATAAAAAATACTGACAATTTTCACAGTGTGAAAACGTGTGTGGTGATCAGTATTCAATATAATCCTTAAGTTCGTATACAGTTCGTCCTGATAACCATCACTAGATTGTAGTGTGGCGTCGAGTTGCGGTTGACTATGATCACCACTACAAGAAGGTTGTGTACCAGATATCAAAAGGCGACAATTCTGTACTATGATTGACACTGTTTGGAATAATATTCCTTTCGTTAGTCTTCTGTCTTCTTATTGCGACTTGGAAGGGTTTTGGTGTTCTAGTACTCTATTATACGCGGTATATCGAGAAATCAGCTTTCAAGATATAACAGTAAGCCATTTATTAAACGTCACAGGTTGTTTTCAATGTTACACTATGTAAATCTATTTTCATCAGTATAGGGGTAGTGGAGATTGTTAAGTTTTTGATTGAGATCATGAACCGATTGATGTTAGACCACCATTGAAAACCTGGAAGCATGGCCGTTTCGTCCTACTGTGGGACTTCTTAGCAGTGCGCATCCACGATACCACTCGCGGGATTCCAACCCAGGGCCATCAGTATCTCGCGAGAACGCTTAACACACTGGACCACAGAGCTAGCATCCAATGGTGTTAGTGTCTAACATCAACCAATCCATGAAGTTGCGCCACCGTACACCATTGTCCTCAGTGAGTTGATATCCCACAACAGACGTGATTGAGCTCCAGTGGTAACGGCTTCTCACTAGAACTCCAGGAGTATCTCTTGAAGTCAGTTACTAATGAGCAGATGGATTGTGATTAGATGTGACATCCAGAACATAAATAAGTCGTCAACTTGTTATAGAATGTTGTCTACCTAACACACTAATTGTCATATCTGTAGTAAATGTTCGAAATGATTGTACAAATGTAAATTATGTAACTAATTGTGTGAATTCTCTCTTAGTCATTACTACTGACAATAGTGTATAATGAATGATCTGATTGATATTTAGCAATAAATTCTACTATTTCTTTTTATCAAAAGAGCTTGGATATTAACGATCCAACTATATCAACACCTATCAAACATATTGAAACAACTTCGGTGATCATTGAAGTTCAGGTTGAAGAAAAAACTTCAAGGGAACTACCAAAGAAACTGATCAATATTCGGTAAATATTTGATATCTAGTAATAAATGCTACTGCCTCGTTAATTCAGAAGAGCTCGGATGTTAACGACCCGAATACACCAACACCCATGAAACATAGTGAAATAACATCGTGGATCACTGAAGTTCAGATTGGAGAAAACCTCAAGGAAACTGATCAATATTTGATATCTAGTTAATAAATGCTACTGTCTCTTTCTTCTTCTTCTTCTTCTTCAGAATATGACTACCGAAATAACTAAAGTGAATAAATCACTTTAATGCTTATATGTTTTAATACTATTGGTCGTCCATTCTTTTGTTTTATGTATCGGTTGTATGATTTGAAGATGGCGGCATGATAGAAAGAGAAGTTATGAATAATTCTCAGGAATGTCTTATAACTATGTATCAATTATATGATTGTTTATGTAATAACTAATGTAATTTTAATAGTTGAATTTTATGAATCGATTGAAGCTAGACTATCATGGAAAAAGCCTGGAATCATCGTATGACCGTTTCGTGGTAGCATTACGCATCCACGATCCTATCTATGGGATTTGAACTCAGGATCTATCGGTCCTGCGTGTGGACGCTTAATCTAACTTCAATTAATTCATGAATTCAACTATTAAAATTACTTAATTATTAACTATTCAGTGAAAGCTGGATGATAAACCTAAATTAGATATTTGGCGGCCCTGCATCTGACTCCAGTGGTGGTATGATGATAAGATCGTGTATGTGCAAAGGGTGAGTTGAGCATATAGTGTCATTAACTTACAAGTAATATGTGCGGGAATGGAATCCAGGACACGCGTCACTTCACTCGTCAACTAGATGTACCTGCATCGCAGAGTCGATACTCAGTACGGTACTGAAAGTCAGTACCATTCACTGTAAACATCATCACCTTAGCTATTAAATATAGATACCCACTGACTTCTACAGCTTTAATCCAACATATAAAGGTGAGCACAAATTTGGTAAATGTTTATCTTGTGGCAAACTGGATTCTCAGAGAACACATCCCCATCGTGATGCTGAATGTTTTAATTGTGACAAAACTAGAAACATTATGTTGGTTTGTAGGACAACTGCTGTTCACTTCGCTAATGGTGATACTAAACTCTACTATTAGGCTCTTATAACAGTGGAGTTTCTAATGATCATATTTCATTTTTTCTTTACGATTTCGAAAAGGTACATTCCATATGAAAAGCGATTATACATCTTCTTTGGTTTATTCTACGATTTTATTGTTGACAGTTCATCATTTCATTCAAAGCTTAATCTTAAGAAAAGCATAAGGTCGTGTGGTCTTTAATAGCTTTCATAAATGATCCCAATACTTCGATAGCTATACTGGGTTAAGGGATAGAAAACCCAACTCTCATTATTGAATTCTCGTTTGTCAAGTCAAAAACACACCATAGTTGAAGCTGGAGATACTCTTAATCAAGCAAAGATGAATAGTGGCTAGCAGTGGAATCCAGGACGCGCGTTTCATCCTGTTTGGGACTCGTCAGCTGAATGTACCTGCATCTCAGGGTTGATGTTCACTCTGGGACTCGAACTCAGTAACGTTCGCTTCAAACGCCATCGCGTTATCCACTTAGCTACTGAGTCCTGATAGCCACTTGCTTGTGCAATGGGGTGAAGTCTAATTCACTTGATATTGTTTTACTTAAATCTTCCCATTGATGTTTTAGGACTGAAATTGATCAGTCATCAGTGGGAAGATTCAAGTAAAACAATATCAAGTTCACTATTCTAGAGTATTCTATGAAGTTGATCTAATAAGTATCTACCTTCGAATTCACTTAGATAAATTCTCATCAATCTCAATAACTAACATCACTTTATAGCCTATTTAAATACTACTCTCTTCCATTTGATTTAAGTTGTCCTCCAGTCATATTTCACGAAATAATCAATAATCTAGTTAGCAATGTTAAAGATGTTGATGTTGGGTCAAGATAATCTCAATATTTATGATCCTTATAAACATATATCATGATTAATAACTCACTTCTTTGTTACATTGTCTAATTAAGAAAAAGATTGCCGTAAATTCAAATCCATGTTCGTTTTGTGTATCTAGTAATTGATTGTTTTGAATATTTAGGTCACAGTAATGACTTCAGATCAGATATGAAGCCACCGAGTTCATTTATACCATTTGTATTATCCTCCGAAACATCTCATACCAATTACGTTTATTAGTAGATGATCTTCAATATTGTTCTCATTTTATTCTCCATTTTCCTTATTATGTCAACTCTCTACTTCAAATTTTAATATTCCCACTCATTTCTATGGAATGTGTAACAAAACTATTGATTTATAAGTCTACTGAACGTTTTTTTGCTATGTTCCCCTTAGATAACCATCATTTGTAACAATGTTGCCTATTCATCACAGAGAAAGGGAAGAGATTAGAAAAGATCGACCGCGAAAATATTACATCTCACTAACTAACTTCATGAATTTCTATCTCTTTATTTATTTAGTTGAACACATAAATATTGGTACAAGAGGGCACCAAATATATATGCGCCAGTTAAGGAAGAAGCAACCACTTTTTATGAAGAAAGTAAAAGAACGTTACAACAGGATCGCCACTGGCTTCCATTCTCAGCCATATCTGAGAACGTCTCTAGCCACTGTGTGGCACCATCTCTCGGACCCCAGCCAGGAAGTTGTGAAGGACCAATACAAGCCAGCCCTTTGTAGCTTTCTTTCATACCACGACACCACGTCATATACTGACCACCTCTCCGCTTCTTCCAACCAGTCCCCGAGTCAACAAATAATTCACGACGTGGCATTATCTGAGACCACATTCGTAGAACATGTCCAAGCCACCGAAGACGGTGCTTCAAGATGGTGGCACCAATTGAATTATCGTCTCTGCACCTGAACACACGATGCCGAACCTCTGCATTACTAACATGATGTTGCCACTAGATGTCAGAAATCCTGCGGAGACAACGATGATCGAACACAGAGAGTAATCTAACATCTTCAAATCGGAGAGGCCAGGTTTCACAAGCATAGAGCAAAACTGCTCTCACCGACGCGTTGTAGATCCGACCTTTTACAGCCAGACTAACATCACGAAGGCGCCAAAGATGGCCCAGATTAGCATAAGCCGCTAAGGCTTTCACTATACGTGTATTGCTTTCATCACTCACACTACCACCAGCATTTATGCAGCTACCTAAATACACGAACTTCTAGTGGTTAAGTTTTCTGAAACACGGGAACGAACAACATATCAAAAATCTTTTCATAGAAACATTATGTGTAACTGGCACCAAACAATTGTCTGTTTGGTTTTGTGGTCACTACGTTTACCTGAACATATATCTTTATAGAGGATCAAGAGATGGAACTGTTCTCTCTCTGTGTGTGTGTGTGTGTATCTCTCTTTCTCTTAACTCTCCATATATCTTTAATGTGAATAGGAAAGTAGATAAGAATGAACCGAACAGATATATTTTATATTCAATAAATGCACCTTATATACTATTTTATTCTATGAATAGAAAAATTAAAAAACAAAACGAAAGTTTTTATTTTGTTCATTTGATCATGTATCTATGATAAATTCAAACAAATATACAATACAATACAATACAATACATACATACATTAGAAAAGAATAAAAGTAGATAGGAAAAAGTGAATGAACAGTTTGGAAATAGAAACAAAAAAAAAGAAGGAAACTTTCAAGACAGAGTGAAATCTGAGACCTCTCCCCCGTACACACACACACACACCCACATACAGAGTGAGCTCGAACAATGAACAGAAAAAGATCAATGAATCTGAGGAATTGGAAAATAATAACAAAAGACAATATAAAAAGAAACCCAATAAGTAATAATAATACTGGTATACTCTTCATCATATCAAATTGTTTCATCTTTTAATTGGGGGGACACACACACACACACACACGTACATACATACACACAGGGAAAAAAGGACAAACGTACCGGTAATCACTACAACACATTATGAATGGAATCAAGGAGAATGAAATAGAAGAGAAACAGAGTGAGAGAGAATAGAAGGAACGACAAGGATTTAGTATGGATTTTGAAAGTTGAACTCATTCACACACACACACACAAACACATACATCCATATAATTCTTACGGGAAAAAATAATAACGAAGTAGTATAATTTCTTCTCTTTTTTTTGTTGTTATTTCTGTGCATATTTCCTATATTGTATTCTATTCTAATTAATACATAGTTGACTACGTTCCATTAATGATTTTAAGTATAAAGTGATAGATTGTTCTGTGATAGAATTCAGTAATACAGGTAACTACATCAAGAAATTAAACAAACAAACAAACAAACGATAATAATAATGAATGAACGAATGATATGAGAAAACATTGTAATTCTATGTATATTATCATTATTATTGTTGTTCCTATTTCAGCCCCCCCCCCAATGCCCTGATACGGCCGAGAGTGGGGAGAGTCAACTATCTCTCTCTCGAAATGCTCTCACATGGCTATGTGCATACAACCACTGCCAGGAGAAATCCTACTCACTACCTTTTCGCGGCATTACTGTTGTTTACGAAATTGACAGAACGAAAAGCAACTGTCCGGCGCTTTAAACGGGTTGGTGGCGAGTTGGAAAACTCTGATTCCAAACCAATTTTGTACATGGGTTCCAGGATCTTGAAGGAATAAATGGCGTATGAACCTATTGTTGCTAACTGGCTATCAGTGAACTGCATCTCTTTACGTTGCTCCACTGCCGTGTGGATTAGACCTTTAAGTCGAAGGCTCCAAGTATGGCTCCTAAGAAAACCACCTGCTTCGGTCTCGGCACCCGGGCAGTATCCCAGCCCTCACATAAATTAAATGATTTATGTGTTTAAATGAATAAATAAACTAAAGATAAGCTGAATTTTAAGTTAATAGACGACTTGAACCGATGCAAGCATATCTCAGGTTCTACATTGATTTTGACTAACTAAACAATACTTTAAAGTTCACCATTGGTGAGTTCAAAGTAATACCGAGAAAATACAGTAGAATTTCGGATTGACGAACAACTATGAATCATAAATCACCGTTAATAATATTCAACGACTATATTCATATTATTCAGTAGTACAATTTGAAGAAATCACAAAAGAATTAGTCGAAAGTTAATTAGGCGTATGAAAGTGATATGGAATATTTAGACCAATGTAAGAGAGAGTATTTGATTTGGTTTGGAATCAGTTTTTAACTCTCTTTAGATGGAATCATCTGTACTCAACAACCCGGTTTAAGTGTCGGACATTTGCTTTCCATACTCTCACTTCTGTGAACAACGCCTTACCATCTGAAAGCAGTGATGAATTCCCTGCCAGAGGCAGCGAATAGCAGACTCTTACTGCCCTCGACCACGTCTGAGTATTCAGGAGCTGTGATTATACAAAATATTTCTGTTAGTAGAGATTTAGATCGAAAGAGTGTAATACCTAATATTTGGCCAGTACCGGCAAAAGAGAATTGTACATATACAACACTTAGATGACGTTTGATGAGTCATGATGGCAGTTCACTGAAAAAACTAATTTATGGTTACTAAAATCTCAATTTATTCTGTTGTTGTCTTTTATCTAGATTTTGTGACATTCAAATGAAATAAGAGACAAAGTCAGGAGAATTCGTCAATTGCCATGAAATCACACCTGGACACTATGAAGACCCAATGAGACCGATAGTCCTATGTTTGAGTCCCGCGTGCGGGATCGTCAATGAGCGCTGCTGAGGAGCCCTATATTAGGATGAAACGGTCGTCCAGTGCTTCCAAGTTTTTCATGGTAGTCTAGCTTAAATGGGCTTATGAACTTAATTATTAAATTACTACAATCTACACAAACCCCATTCTGATATTAATTGATTAGTTCATTACCTTGCCAGGAGATAGATTGGATAAATCATGCAATGTTTTTGCCAAGTAAACACGGGGATCAGTAATTGAAGCATATAAATCCGGTAACTTTTGAATTGCAAATGTCAACTGAGAGTAAGCTGACTGACCAGCTGTAAAAAAGTAAACAAACACAATAAATCATAGAAAAGTATAAAGTCGACTAGTTACTTTCCAACCATTAAACCGACGATAAACGGAGATTACAAAAAAATAACAAATGTAAAGGAGATAGGATGTACGTCCGTGAATTTGTAACGCAACAACTCTTCATTGTTAAGTGTGTGTGTGTGTGCAACACATATCATTTTCCTTGCTCATTTACTGAATGAACACTTTATAAGAAAACACATTTCACTGGGGATTTCATTTCAAGCTCTAACTTTGAGTATATTTGCCTTTTTCATCTGACAAGTAGGGATCCAGATATACAATGTTACGTTCAAGACATATATAGATGAAAATTACACTTTTATATGCAGTACTGATATACTTTTAACACGGCAATAAATTGCCTATATCTTTGTATACATATTATGTATGTATCTTCTACATGTATAAATGGCAATGACTGATTGTATGTGACAATTCTAAGTGTTTACTTCTCTTAGTCGCTTAAAATGTTTGATGACCCATTCGAATTCGGATATATATCTGCTTGTTAAACTACATTAATCAATTGGTCTCTTCGGTTGCGTGTTTGCTGATCGTTCGATTTATACTGCGGATTACATAAACTGTCATTACGACTTTATTTCGCCTTCTGGATATTTGCACGTCGTTAGGTCAGTTAATACAAGAAGTATATGAAAGGTTTGAAATTATGCTTCAACAAGTGTCCAACAGTATGGCGTTTATTTCATAGTACTCTAACGAAAAACCGTTAAATTAAAACGAATTGCTGTAGTCATTCACCTTTAACGGTGAACTGTTGGAAGATCTATGGAGAACCGAAGAAACTTACACCACTCACGTTATTGTTTTATAATGTAGTGTAATAGTGTGAGTACATAAGATTACTATATGAGATGGCATAAATGAAGCAACACCCACATATAAAACTCACAAGGATCTGAGTCTATTTCAATGAAACGTTCATCTTTTTGAAAACCATCTACCATAGAATTCATTGCCATCGATACAGCCAAATCGCTCGCAGCATCACCACCACGTCCTGGACCACTAGCCAAACCGGCAATAATTTTTATTAATAAAGGAAGCCATGATTCACGATAAGTAGAACCACTGGTAAGTAAAGCTTGTGCTTCACCAATAAATCGGATTAATCCAATACTATTCATACGCCATTCTGTACAGACAGAAGTAGATGGTAGACTAGATACTTCAGCACTTTCTGAAATCGAACAAATAAATACACAAGGAGAGAGAGAAGTGAATTTATTTCTTTTTATTATGATGTTTGGTTATGAAACTGAGAGAAAGTATAACATCTAACTTACATAAACTATTTCATTCAATGTATATCAACCATCCGAATACAATTCATTTATATTGGTTGTATCAATCTTCAATTACAGTCCTAAACATCAATAAGGAAGATTCAAGCAACCAATACAAGATGAATTAAGCTTCACCACATTGCACAATTCAATGGCTATCCGCAATCAGTAGCTACGGGAATAACAAGATGGCGTTCAAAGCGAACAGTAGTGAGTTCGGGTCATGGAGTGAACATCAACCCTGGGATGCAGGTGCATCCATCTGACGAGTCCCAAATAGAACGAAACACAAGTTCTATATTCTACTACTAGCAACAATTCATCTCTGCTTATAACTTAAGTACAAGTTTAAGAGTAGCTAAAATCTTGAAGCATTAAACAGAATCATGAGCTATGACTACCTCCAATTTTTCTTTAAGGTTATATTATGCCAAAAAAGTTGGAGAGACAGTGGTAAGATCAAGAAAACAGCATATTTAAGATGTGAACAACAGTTATCTATAATAATACAACGTGCTAAATTGAAGAAATCTCAGTAAATCTCGAATGCGTGAACATATTTGCCGGTTATATATATATCTATCAAGTTGAAGTATGTCGATTGATAAGAATACCATGAGAGAAGAGTAACGAACAATTGATGATCCGTTAAGATGCAAAAACCATATTCTTCGTAAACACAACACAAAAGAGAAAAAGAAAGAAAAAAAAAACAGTCTTACTTGCAAAACCACTAGTTGAAATCAATGGTGTAGCGATAATAATTTCAGCATATGGAATAAGAACTTTTTCTAGTACACGAGCAAATAGATTTGATTGAATACTATCAACAAGTGTAATCAATTCATTCGGTGAATAGATTAATACCATATGAGCAATGAATGATGCAAAAGCTATAAATAAAACAAGAGGAAATTTGAGTAAAATCGATATCCTTTTATGTTTCAGGTAATAAAAGTATTAGTAGTATTTCGGTGATTGTTACTTATACTGATAGATATAAATAGTATGCAGCACTGAACGGAAGTGAAATGACTGCCAAAGAAAGATTGAATTGAAGTGAGAAAATGAAGGGGAACAGAGAGAGTGATTAGACAATTCAAGGAAGATGTGCAAATGATGTATGCAACATATGGTTTTCATAATTTACGAAGACACTCTGCAATTTAGCCGTAAACAATAATTTGCTTTTATCCCTACTTGAGTTTTCATTCACTACAGAATTAGTAGTAGTAGTAGTAGTAGTAGTAGTAGTAGTAGTAGTAGTAGTAGTAGTAGTAGTAGCATGAAGATCAGATAGAAGTAATAATCATCAAAATTTATTTATTTGTATTTAACTAATAGTAGTATCAACGAAAGTAAACAGTAGAGTTAAGAACAAATACAAAATGAAATCATGTAAACATTTATTGATTCTATGGTTGGACACTTAGCCACAAATATTGAATATACTGGATTCAATCCTTAGCAGAGTCATCACAGATGTGTAATCTCATCATATCAAGAGTCGGCGGTCCATTCGATTTTTTGATTTTCAATAGTCTCTGGTGTAAAGGCCCCCAAATGCCCTGGTACGGCCGAAAGTGGGGAAAGACCGCTCGGATGAAAAGCGAATGTCCGGCGCTTTAACCGAGTTGGTGGATACGGACAGTCCACATAGGGGAGTTGGAAAACCCTGATTCTAAACCAATGGTGCACATGGGCTCCAGTATCCTGAAGGAACAAATGGTGTATGAACCTATTGTTGGTGACCGGCTACCTTGGGGGACTGCATCTCCTTACTATGCCTCACTGCCTTGTGGATCAGAACTTTAGGTCGAACGCTCCAGGTGTGGCCCCCTAACAAAACCACCTGCTTCGGTTTGGGCACCCAGGCAGAATTACATCCCTCACACAAATCAAATGAGATTTGTGTGGCGCATATATATTTGGTGCCTCCTTGTGTCAACATCTATGTGTTAAAATAAATAAATAAATAAAACCTACAAATCAAGATTGAACAGCTGAAAAAGGAATAGATTTTATACAACTGTAGTCGATTTAGAGCTACGTCATTAAAGACTTCACTTAATTATTGGTTAAGATAATTGGCCTGACCTCAAAATAGTGTCCATCATCACTTGATAGCCTTAATTAATGACTATCAAATAAAATCATGTTGTACACAGCTTCCTTCCAATTAATTTCCATATGACCTATTATGAGTCGTCGGGTAGTCGATGTAGATTCACCGACTTGATTAATTTAAAAATACTCGGAATTGAATGTTACTAACCGAAAAATATGTATTCTATCATTATAGAATATAATACCACCTCTGAATTAACTACTTTTATGAATTCAGTGTTCATCTTGTTGTGTTAATGAGGTATGGAAACTTGGACCGATGCATATATATGTGCCTGGTCCTACATTGTAGCTGATTGACTGACTGACTATCATTATAGACCAAGCAACATGTGTCCATTAACAATACAAAGGTTAAAGAAATGGATAAGAGATAATAGTAACAACAACAACAACAACAACTAAAATGGTTTAACAAACCTTTCATAAATTTCTCTCTTTTACATGATTGTAATCGACGAAATATAATCATGAATATTTGACGAAAATAGTTTGGCATTAAAATATCTTTTGGACCAGATAATAGAATAGCATTTAATAAAGCAAATGCATACACATCATTTATAGAAGAATTAACTAATTTTTGAAATACTCCTAGAATCGGTGTAATCTACAGAGATGGCACAGAGAGAGAGAGAGAGATGATACCAAGGAGAATGACGAAAAAACAAAATAGATAATCATAAATCAATAATTAACAACTACGATAAATTCATCTCATTGATGGTTATGAATGATACCAGAAAAAAAATAGAATAAGTGACAGATAATTATGGCATTAAAATTCCTATAATATTGAATATCATAGTACAATAAATGTTGACAACTTTTCGAAATCTTTGACGAATACTTTGATTGATCGTAAAGAATGAAGTAGCTTAAAGTGTTGACCAATTTACTTCATTAACTGAAATTAATTCGATATGCATAACGTATGCCTAACTACCGTCTACTATGAATACTCGGTGTTAGCCATTGTAAGAGTATGTTAGAAGAAATTTGAGAGGAGGTCAAGTACAAAATGTAGCATTAGACTATTGATAGGTGAAGAACATTTGGTTAGTGTTTGTACGATAATCCGCTACCAGTGTCATTAAAGAAATTAGATGAGATAGATTCAAATCAATCACAGGTAGGGCGGCACATAAATCTACTTTTCAATCTTCCATATATCGAAGGTTCTAGTATTCCTTTCACATACATATACTTTCAATGCTTCCTCTTAAACCATGTCACCAATGTTTGCTACTACAATTATTTCAATTTATTTAATATTCATTTTATGGAATTCATCTTATTCTCAACTCTTAACAAGAATATTGCCCTCAAATGCCCTGGTACGGTCGAGAGTGGGGACACTCCGCACACCCTCTCCAAATGCTTTCACGTGGCCACGTGCATACAACTACTGCCACAAAAGTGCTACTCACTGCATTCTCGTGGCATTACTGTCGTTTACGAAATTGAGAAGATGAAAAGCGAATGTCCGGCGCTTTAACCAAGATGGTGGATCCATCTAGGGGAGTTGGAAAACCCTCGTCCTAAACCAATGGTGCACATCGGCTCCGTCATCCTGAAGGTAAAAATGGTGTATGGACCAATCGTTGGTCACCGGCTACCATGGGAATGCATCTAATTACGATGCTCCACTGCCTTGTGGATCAGACCATTAGGTCAAAGGCTTAAGCTGTGACCCCCTAATAAAACCACCTGCTTCGAGGTTTGGCCACCCGGGAAATATCCAAGTCCTCATATAAATCGTATGATTTATGTGGTGCATGTGTATCTGGTGCCCCCTTGTACCAGTATTTGTGTTCAAATAAATATAAATAGGTAACTAGAATATTTGTTTCAACTATTAGAATAAAACTGACCCGATGAAAAATTGGGACGTATGAAAATATATTTAGAAGTTAGAACTAGCAATAATTAGCATAATAAATTATTCACAAATCAACAACAATGGTTAGGGAAAAAGATTTCAAATAATAAAATTCATTTACGTTATATAAACTAGTGGTTAGGGTTAGAGATCTGAAGCGAAAAGTATTGGGATTCGAGACCCCGTAATAAGATTAACACTTTGATGTAGGTACATCCAGATGATGAATTCTAAATAGTAATGAAATAAACAGTCCCGAAAACAGAGATGGATGGTGGCGAGCAATTGAATCTAGGACACGCGTTTTGTTCTATTTTAAATTCGTCAGTTGGTTGAACATGCATCCCAGAGTTGATGCTCACCCTGAGACTCGAATCCAGTACCGTTCGCTTCAAACGCCATCACGTTGTTCACTTAGTTACTAGGTCCAGCCGACGAATTCCAAATAGGGAGAAACACGCGTCTTGGAATCTACTGTTAACCACTATCTAACATTACTTAACGATGTCTAACGCTTAAAATCTTCTAAAGAGTAAATGTTAGTTTAAAATTGTACAGAAATATCGAATTAACTATCAGAAATATTTTAATTCAATAAGAAGCCAGTTATAGTTTGAAAATAATTCAACAGCAGAGACTGTGACAATCAAGTTTGAATTTGACAGGAATAATCAGTTCAAGACACACTTTATAAAATATAAATCTGAGTACAAAGTGGGTGCTGAAATAAATATGTATTACACGATTAAGTGATGGAATTGTGGAAAGATAAAAGATGAGTATAATGAATAAATGAATAAAGATAACTAAATGGGAGCAGATTGTTTCATAAGATATAGTTTGGCTAACAACATATCCAAGAAAGACTCCTCTTACTTAAGAAAGATCTCATCCTAACTTTATGATGGATAAAAAGCAAAAAATTACGCGAGAACCGTCATCAGTTTCTACTCCCAGCTATATTTGATAACGTCTCAAAATAATGAGTTGCATGCATTATATCTAGGAACCCTAACTAGTACTATAGTTGACAAGTAATTCACGATGTACGATTTGAACTTCGAAGATGACTTGGTTCTTTTATCCCACACATACCAACAAATGCAGATCAAGACTAGTGTAGCAGAAGCCTCTGCGTCAGTAGGCCTCGACATACACAAGGGAAAAACCAAGATCCTCAAATACAACACGGAGAACATTAACTCAGTCACAATTGGTGGAGACTCTCACGTATCTGGACAGTATTATCGATGAACGCAGAGGATCCGATGCAGATGTGAAAACATATGGAACTCAAAACAACTGTCAACCAACATATAAGTCACAATCTTCAATACGAACATCAAGACAGTCCTAATACTGTACAGAGCCGAAAATTAGGGAACTATTACAACCACCATTAAAACGGTACAAGTATTCATAGACGATTGTCTACGCAAGATATTCAATATCCGTTGAACGGATACCATCAGCAACAACGTACTGTGGGAGACAACAAAATAGCTTCCATCTGAAGAGGAAATCAGAAAAAGACATTGGAAGTGCATAGGACATATATTAGACTGAATCTGGAGGTAACCGCTAACTTGGAATCATGAAGGGAAACGGAATAGAGGAAGGCCAAAGGATACACTGAGTCGGGAATTGGAAGCAGAAATGTAAGGGATGAATAGCAACTGGGAAAGATTATCCAGGACAGAGTTTGATGGAGAATGCTGATAGGCGACCTATGCTCCACCACGAAGGGTAACAGGAGTACGTAAGTAAGTTCAGTCAGTCAGTAACAACGTAGAACTTCATACGTACATACACCAGTTCGAGTTGCCGTACCACATTGGCACAGAGATGCAGTTGTCTATTTAAATCCCGTAGTGGTAGAGAGGTGGTAGGAGTATAAGCAGTAATCGGAGAGATTAGGGTTTGAAGATGTTATTCAAGGAGTATAATACATTGAAATAAATTTGGAAAATTACATGTATGTCATATGTGATGAGATCAATTAGTTACAATTTAGAACCTGGTACGCCTTAACATTGGTTCAATTCGCCATTATCCCATTAGTACAAAGAAATAAAGTCACACATTCGAACTAGGCTAACATGTACTTCGGTTTGTGAGTAACCAAGTAATACAATTACTTATCATTAACACAAAGAAATTTTTGACAGAAAGTTAAATATTAGGAATTTATGCCTTGTAAATGAGTGAATAATGATAATGATAATAGTAAGTGATGAGATAAATAGATTTTAATTTTGCTTACCAAAGAATGAACCTGAATGGATTAAACAAAAGTGAATCATTAAATATTCTCGTGAAAGGAAAAAAAAGGACATTCGGAGAAGAGAGTACAGTTCTAAATCCAAATGTTGACATAAGGATTAAATTTCTTATACATCAATTCTATACTACTTAGAGTTATCTTCAATATCATAATGAAAGATCAGTGATAATTGAGTTAAATTCTGGTTAATGGTAGAATCTCTCTAACAGGATATAGATTTCACCCTATTTAGAAGTTATCATCATCACCAGAGTGGGTTGGAGAATACTGGTCGGCGGCCTATGCTCCATTGGGAGTAACAGGCGTAAGTAAGTAAGTAAGTAATCATCATCATCATCACCATAAACTGGATGTATATCTCCACATTTTAATGTTATGATGTTCATACACTGAGACTTGGATCTCAGTATCTTTTGTTTGAACAGTGGGGAAAAAAACCATATACACAAACATGAAGAATGAATTTTCTTGTTCAATTTAAGAAAACAACTTAAAGATTTTTAGTGGATAGTACAACATTTGTCTACGATAAAAATTAACAAAATTAGAAACAAAGTAATAAAATAAATAGTCTGGAAAACAGAGATGAATGGTGGCGAGCAATCGAATCCAGGACACGCGTTTTGTTCTATTTTAAATTCGTCAGCTGGTTGAACCTGCATCCTAGAGTTGATGCTCACCCTGAGATTCGAACCCATTACCGTTCACGTTGTTCACTTTAACTAACGAATCCTGAACAGGACGAAACGCGCGTCCTGAATTCCATCGTTAACTACTATCCATCTCTATTTACAATGCTGGTGTGATTTAAGATAATATTGAGGCAATCCACACAAAATGTACATATACTAATAAGAGATTGATCAGTTTTAGTAATAAACAAACAGTTAAGATTAACATTAATAAGTATGAGGTAACTAATTAGTAATGTAATACTATCTATGTATGAATTGATAATTAACGTGACTTCAATATGAGAATTCTGTATTTACTACTACTACTACTACTACTAAGAGTAACTTGTTTCGACTTATGTACTCCTGAAAGTTCTGATAAGAAATATGAATTGTAGAATAAATCAATAATTAATTAACAAACAATCCTCTATATAATTAATATGGAATTTCAGTTGAAAACTAACAAACTATATTATTCTTAAGACAAATACCATAACAATAGAAAAGATTAAGTAAAGACTATACGATTCAAGAAGAATGAATGAATGAATGAATTCATAGAACTAACAAAAAATTCCCTTAGCAACTAAAGGGGTAAACAGATAAACTGTGAATATATTCACACTAGTGTATAAAACGATTATTCTGAGCCATGTTATCCAATGTTTTGAAATTAACCGATCACAATTATTGTATAGAATCCAACTGAATATTATGTTGCATAAACAAAACAGAATCCAGTTCAACAGTCAATAAATTCATGGATTAATGATATGTTCTTGTTTAACCGTTTCTAGTTTAATTACAACTTAATGATATACGAGTAAATATCGGGTGACAACTACCTCAAAAGTGTATATCATCAATTGTTTGTTGTGAATAACTTTAATGAAAATAAGAACAAACCAAGAAATCAAATCAAAAAAAACTATTATCATTTACAAATACATTTTATAAGTGAATTACCTTATTAGCTGCTAACACATCATCCATATTATGTAACAGGTAAGCTTGTAACAAACGAACAAGCGATGGAACATTTCTATTTGGTTCCCATAGAGATGGGACAAGGATTCGTTGAAGTAAAGCTGAATAAGCCTGTGAAGGTCGGAAATTACTAGGTGTTCCTGTTGTCATGCCATTGATAACAGGTTGTGGTAATTTACAATTAGTTAGAACAGTTTGAGATAATGGATACTGTTCTAGCATAACACTGATCAATTGAAATACATATGGTACAAATTCTGGAAAAGAGAAATAATAAACAGGAAGGATAAGCAACACATATATTAATGTGAATTAACCGAAAACAGACACGAAGAAAGTGAAATAGTTGTTACCAATAGGGAATCAGGAGTACTGAACAGCTGTTTTATCACAGCATGAGACTCCTCATCAGTGCCTACCCATAATTCCACACCCCCGACCGCATTATGATAGTCAGCTGACCAGTAATTTACTTTAAGATATTTTTGGAGTTCACGTGAGAAATCATGACTGATGGAGGTTAATCTATGTCAAGAGTGAAACAGTTGTCACTAACAGCATTCAATAATCATCGAACTATATCATGATCTGATTGAAGTTGAATTTATATGTTTGAATACCGACTCAATGATTTTGATACCTAAGTGTTCACTGTGACACCTATAAACCCTAGATTCAACCTCTGGTTAGTTCATGGGCGCTCATTGCTAAAGAGCCCCATACCGGAACGAAATATGTGTTTAGTATCTCATAACTTTTAATCTATGACGGATATAACCTATAAATGGAACCAAACTTCACAAAATCCCTTCAACCAAATTAGCTAGAAAAAGTTAGACGTTAACTTATTTCGATTAATGCAGTTACATTTAATCTGTAAATTTATTTCATCAATGATATACAGTAAACCAAAGACAGATTCATGTGTTTTATGCATTAAAATAAAGCATATAGAAGCTAGTGATAGGCAAATTATCGTAGGGGGATAGGTAGGCAATAATTCAGCATTTTAATGAACTGAGACCTGGTAACATTTGTGTACATTCTCTAGAAGATACAATGTATATGATAAATTTAGAAATGAGAATTTTGGATTACAAACAAAATTTGTTATATCCCGGTAAGTATAAGGGATGGTAACTGATAGGATCCATTTATGGTCAAATACGGTGACATGGCTCAGAATCGATCACAATGGCGTCGGTGTATACACTCTCTGTCTTCTCTTAAACTAAGAGATTAAAATCGCTTCGTATCTTTCTTTCTACGAACTAATTCTTTCTTCCTGTACTATATCCTTATTGCAATCCTTCTTTTACATATTACCACCTCTGAATTAACCAACTATATGAATCCGGTGTCCATCTTGTTGTGTTAATGAGGTATGGCAACTTGGACCGATGCATATATGTGCCTGGTCCTACGTTGTGGCTGACTGACTGATGGTCAAATACTATACATATATTTTTATTGTGTAATTGTTAAGTGTTCCTTTTATCATAAGCTTTATTTTGACCTATGAACTATTATTATACGATTTATCATTCTTCAGTTATGCCCTGTCTATTAATTACATTATCCCACAATTACAGACACTTCTGGTTAGATCTTGGACAAATATATTCTATTTTATAGTACGATGTGGTCTGTCTGGTTGATATATAAACCGAGTATGTTTGAAATAAATGATTCATATCGCAGAGGCTGAGATTAGTGTTTTGGACTTAACAGGCAAGGCTAGGCGGGAAGCAGAACCGATAAGACTCTAGACTACTCGTACGTGTTTTATGCGTCATTAGTCCGGTCGATAATTCACTGTTCTCTAATTGGCGATATTATTACCTTGTATATTGGCAGGGCACTCAGGCCATAAGTATAACAAAAATGACAACTTACCAACAACATCTTGTTGTAAAATATCTTGAAAGATTGGAAGGAATGCTGCTTCAAAATGTAACACTAAAGCTGGTTCCGTGGCACAAGTTAAACGAATACATAAACAGATTGTTTCAAATAGGAAATGATTATAATCAGGTTTACATGGGTTCTATAAAATGATGAAAAAACAACAACAACAACAGAAATTGAACAAAACGACAAATAATACTAACCATAATAATGATAATGATGATGGTAAAGATAAACGGTATAGATTGATAAGAACAAAAAGAAAGGTTTACATATTGTTAACGGGACATAGATTGGATTAAAGCATGCTCAATACACGATTGCGTTGTTGTACGCTAATCCTTATCCAACCAGCGCTAGTCAATACTTGGAGAACACTCTAAAATCTCATGTGAAGGTTATAAATATAATAACGTTTTTCCTATTGTGCTTCTTACTTACATCTAACCTTGTTATTTAGAATATAATCTCTTTACTGTTCAACCGTGTTCTGATTTAGGGACTTGTCTAGTGAATTGGTGTCCAAGAATACTAAGCAATAGGAATAGCTGGATTGTAATAAGAGAGAATTATAACATATATAATTAGGATGAAAAACTATCTTGTTAAACAAACCTTTGCAACTTGAGTAAGACGAGCTAATAAAGTGGATACAAGTGATGTCATTGAAGGTAGACAACGTTCCTGTAAACAGCAACAAACTCGCATTAAGGCTATAAAGAAAATAAACGAGAGAGAGAGAGAGAATAGGATAAAAAATCCTAAAGAAAATAACAAATATGTAATTTATATTAACTTGTCATCAGTCAGTCAGTGACAACGTAGAACTTTGTACGTACATACATCAGTTCGAGTTGCCACACCACCTTAGCACAGAGATGAAGTTGTCCACTCAAATCCCGTAGTGGTAGAGGTAGCAAGAGTATAAGCAGTAATAGGGAAGATTAGGGTTTGAAGATGTTATTTAAGGAGTATAATCCAGTGAAATAAGTTTGTAAAGAGAAAAAAAGAGACAAGGAGGATTCAGGAGAACACAAAGAGTGGATGCACCTTCGCCATTGCAAACGATTTTAAGCCATATCATTTAAGGTCTCTAACCATCGATTGTTATCATCTCATTAAGTTATTATACATAAATAAATAAATTTCAACACTTTACAAATGATTATGATCGATCCTTAACAGTCATATATAGTAATTACAGCCAAATTAAATAATTGATAGTTGTTGAGTATATATACAATAAGTTAGCAACAATGCAAGCATGTTCGGGATGCGATTCCCCCCTCGAAATGCAAAATGTTGCTTCAGGATTGAGTTGCATCGACACCCGAACTAGTGATAGGGAGTGAAGTAGTTGAGTGTGTCGACCGCTTCACTTATCTTGGAAGTCTCATCAGCCCTTGTGGTCTGGTGTGTGACGAAATCTCAGCACGGATACAAAGGGCTCGACTAGCTTTTGCCAACTTGCGTCATTTATGGCGTAGGCGAGATATCCGTCTATCAACCGAAGGACGCGTTTACTGCGCAGCAGTTCGTCCCGTCCTACTTTATGGCAGTGAAACATGGCCGGTAAGAGTATAGGATATTCGTAGGTTACTAGTATTTGATCATAGGTGTCTTCCAACACATTCCTCGTATACCCTGGGACAATCTAGTAAGTAACACAATTGTTAGGAAACGGGTACTAGGTAAGGATGGCAAATCAATTGATGAAGTAGTGAAACTTGATCAGTTGAGATGGCTGGGACACGTGTTACGTATGCCCAACCACCGACTGCCTCGACGTGCGATGCTCAATGGTATAGGAGTAGGTTGGAAGAAAGGTAGGAGCGGCCAGACGAAAACATGGCACAAGTCCATGAAGTCACTGACAAGTGAACTGAGTCATGTTGGCAGGTGTAGACTACCTGGTTGGGGACCGCGAGATGATAGAAACCGGTAGTTAGAGACCCTGAATGACATGGCTGAAAATCGTTTGCGATGGCGCAGGTGCATCCACTCTTTGTGTTCTCCCAGATTCTAATCTGAATTCTCCATGTCCCTTTTTTCCTCTTTCCAAATTTATTTCACTGGATTATACTCTTTAAATAGCATCTCCAAACGCTAATTTTCCCGATTACTGCTTATACTCTTATTACCTCTACCACTACGGGATTTGAATCGACAACTGCATCTCTGTGCTAAGGTGGTGTGGCAACTCGAACTGATGTATGTACGTACGAAGTTCCACGTTGTTACTGACTGACTGACTGATACAATAAGTTGATGGATGGCTTTGACTTCAGTACAAGGGGTAACAGACCTAGGTAAGTGTGTTGATAGATTAAACGTTTAACAAAGTTATGTTATTGATTTAATTATCATATTGTATAAGATACAATAGTCAACCTCACTTACCTCGTATTACATAAACATTTTCACCATATTCAGGATTATTCAAAATATTCAATAATCTATCAATTAATAATTGAGGTTCTGATACTTGTTCTTTTAGTATTCTGAAATCAATCATTCATTAAGAATAAATGATGAAATCTGTTAAATATTTGGGATCAACATTATTAATTTGGAATGTAATGCAACTAATCAATAAATAATCAAAGTACAAATAAGTTTAGGTATGTACAAGATAATGACAATAAAATCAGATTAAATAGTTCAGTGGTAACATCTAAGTAGTGTGGATTCAAATCACACACGGAGTATCAACTTCCTCAAGGAATAAACTAGCATGAGATTAAGGTTTGAGGGGCATCCTGCTGAACACTTTGAATCGTGTTACATCAGGACAAAGTGAATATGATGCCAAGTTCACTGAAGTACTATCCAAATCACAAATTGATTGATAAAATCTTACCACTATTAAAGACTATAGAACAATGGCATTGGCCACTATCCAGTGTTCAAACAGATGTTACTATTTAGAACTACTTCAAGTCAGAGTAGATGTAATGGAAAATGAAAGAATTCAGTGACTTATTCACTGAATCACCAGGTTTTACAATCGTACAAAACTATTCAAATGATTATATGCCATTAGGTTATTAATAATAAAAATGTTTTCTTCTTCAAAGGAACGTTTTCATACTGATCATATCACAGTTTCAATGGATTTAGGTGAATATAATTAACCTTGAACAAGAAATTTATTTCTTTAAGATTACACAAGAAACAATGACGACAGTTATAACAAAAATCAGGAAAAAAAACCCCAGAAATAGCTGTTTAGTTACCATAGGTGTTGTAGTAGTGGTAGCAGGTCGATTAGTACAATCACAAATATTGATAACTGTATGAATCTCATCTCTGCCTTATCAAAGTCACTATGATAATATTAATGATAAAAATAGTAGACTTACACAGGATCTGTAGGTGAATCTAATCGTCGCATAGCCAATAATTTATCAATTAATGAAGCTACATAACTTTGTACAACCGGTGCTGAAGCAGTAAGTAACACTGGAGTCATATTCAATAGATTGACTAAGGCCACAGATGGAAGTAGTGAACGAAATGCAATAGCATAACGTAAACAATCCGCTTTGATCACAGGCAAATAATTAACTATAATACACAAGAAAGCAACTGAAGAGTAGTGAATTGTTCATGACAATATACTAGGGTAAAGTAAATGAATAGGTTAAAAGGATAGACTTCTGAATCAGATCAAAGAATACGGTAATTGATTCATACCCAACCGATTAGCGCAGGCTGACGTATATTACGATGGAAACTTGAATGTTCTTAGCAGTTCAGATTTATTGGAATATAAATTATACCTCGATGATTCTTGTTCTGATTTAGTGGGAAATAATTGAAGTATAGTGTTCAAGGAATTACAATACAAGAGAAGTACATAATAGAATCGAATAGATTTTTTATAACATTACAGTAAGAATACAGAACAAAACTACTGGTACAAAGGGACATCAGATATATATGCGCCAAGTCACTTGTGTGTGGGTTGTGATACTACCCGAGTGCCTAAACCAAAGCAGGTGGTTTTCTTATGGGGCCACACCCAGAGCCTTCGACTTAAAGGTCGAAACCACAAGACAGTGGATCAACGTCAGGAAATGCAGTCATATGGTAGCCGGTGACCAACGACTGGTTCATACACGCCATTTGCTCCTTCAGGATACTGGAGTTCATGTGCACAATTAGTTTGGAATTAGGGTTTTCCAACTCCCCTAGATGAACTCTCCGTGTTTACCATCCTGGTTAAAGCGCCGGACATTCGCTTCTCGTCCTCTCAATTTTCATACACAACAGTAATGACGCGAGAAAGCAGTAAGACTTCCCTAGCAGTATCTGTATACGCGTGGCCACTGGAGAGCATTTCGAGAGGGAGAGTTGACTCTCCCGATTCTCGGCTGTACCAGGGCAACTTATAACTATTTATTTATTTAAACACATAAACACTGGTACAAGGAGGCACCAAATAGATATGCGCCACATATATCATTTGATATGTGTGAGGGCTGGAATACTGCCCGCGTGCCCAAACTGAAGCAGGTAGTTTTCACAGAGGACCAACTGCAAACAGATTAGTGTAACTGACCAAATTATAACTCGTAGACATTTATGGACATGGGAACTGTACTACTATTAACTGGTTAACTTAGAATGAATAATGTAACGGCAACAGCGGCATATTGGTGGGGATTTACCGCTATTATTCAATAATACAATAACTGAGATACGAAATGAAGTTGTCCAGGTGCCTCACAAAAATTAAGCAGTTTTTGTCAAAATAGATTGTGACAATGTATCAAGAAAGAAAGAAAGAAAAGAACGAACACACCAACAAACTTACCATTAGGATTTCGTAATTCAGGTAGAACATGATTTTCAAAAAATGTTGTTAGATTAACCAATTCAGTGGAGACTGTAACACCATGCTAAAGAAGTAGTACAAACATAAATAATCATAATAACAATAATGAATAATAGGATAAATAATAATAATTTATTAAAATTTCTATTTAGACTACTATACATATAAGAAAAACTCCGCCTGTAACTCTTCTCGAGTTACTGCCTGTCCTAAGCCCGGGTAAAGGAGGAGGGTTGGGAATGGGGTTAGCGATCCCATCCCGTAGAAAACTAACCAGAAAAACATATAAGAAAATGAATACCTACAAATGAATAAATAGATTTATTGGATAATGAAAGTAAACTTGGAAATTTCCACAACAAACCATAGATTTAACTTATTTTCATTAAATAAGATGAATATTTATTCATTTATATGTAATTCCGATGGTTAAGATCATGAGTCAGTTGAAGCTAGACCACCATGGAAAACCTGGAAGCACTGGACGGCCGTTTCGTCCTATTGTGGGGCTCCTCAAGGGTGCGCATCCACGACCTCTCCCCCTGCGAGATTCAAACCCAGGACCTACTGGTTTCGCGCGCGAGCACTTAACCACTAGACCACTGAGCCGGTATCCAATGGTGTTAATGTCTAACTTCAACTAATCATTTATATGTGTGTACTGGGTAAGGTTAACATAATGAATCAAAATAGTAATAATAAGAAAGACTAAGCGCTAAATAATACGATGGGAAAAAAGATAGAATTTAAGGGATAAGAATTATGAAATAATATTACGGCTGAAAACTTAAAGGAAGATAGAATAAGTGTATATTTGTGTCAGTGTAACCGACTTTGAATCACGTCACCTAATCAGTGATTACAGTTATTATGTAGACGATTCCAAACAGGTAAGCTACATCAACTAAAATGGTTTAGACGAACACTAAATTGTTTTATGGACTGTTATTATATCTTGATTGAGTATTCTTAGTATTCCTTAAATCTAATTTATTATTACACAAAAAGGTAGCCAATAAGTAGGTATACGTAACATAAATCTCAACCAATTTGTCCGATGAAGATTCACCATCTTATTACTTTTGTTTAGTACCGTTTACGCCTAGTCATAACACTGATTCCTTAGTTGTGAGCGATGCTTCAAATACACCTATAATCCAAAAGTTGATTCTTATGGATATCTTTTATCTTTATAGGATATGTTTCACAACCATGGAGTAATACAGACTAAGATCGCTCTAGAGTATACTCATCTTGTTGGTTAGCAGACAGACATTTCACAAGATAAGAATGGCACAAATTGACAAAAGTCAAGTTAGCTTTCTAAGTCAATGTCAAAATGTTGTCAGGTATCATCAACAAACCAGGGCAGATAAAGATTTTTAACGTAATTGAATTGATCAACATGGAAATGATACTTCATTTAATCTGAAATTATTTTAATGATAACTTTTAATGTTTATGTAACTATCATTTAAGTAGAATTCATTCATATTACTACGAATAGTGTAGATGTATCCACGTCTTTTCTTCCTTTTTAAAAACTGAGTCCCGAAGTTGTATTGTACAATTTTTTCCTACTTTTTCAATACTAACTACTACTACTATAGTGAACGAAAACTCAGGGAAGGTAAATTAATTTATTCTTTTACGCTAAATTACACAGTGCATTCGTAAAATATGAAAATCATATATAAAATACATCATTTGTACATCTTTCTTTAGTTGTCGTGGCGTAGGTGTTGTTTACGAAACTGAGAGAACAAAAAGCAAATGTCTGGTGCTTTAACCGGGTCGGTGGACACGGAGAACCCGCCTAGGCGAGTTGGAAAACCCTCATCCCAAACCAATGGTGCACATGAACTCCAGTATCCTGAAGGAACAAATGACGTACGAACCAATCGTTGGTCATCGGCTACCATGGGAATGCATCTCCTTACGATGCTCCACTGCCTTTTGGATCAGACGTTTAGGTCGAAGACTCCAGGTGTGACCTAATAAAACCACCTGCTTTGGTTTAGGCATCTGAGCAGTATCAGAGCCCACACACAAGTGACTTGTGTGGCGCATATGTATTCAGTGCCCCCTTGTACCTGTATTTGTGTTTAAATAAATAAGTTGTCGTTTACATACTCCATCATTCTTCCGATTTTGTCGTTACTCGGACTGCTCTCTGTTTTCTTTATTTCAATCTTCTGCTGGTAAACACTCCATTCTTGCTGCATACTACCTATATTTGTCCACATAGGAGGCGCACAATTACTAATACTCTAGGACTTGTCTTGAAATAATTTTATCTCACTGTGGTAACGTGTTATGATAACTTGAACCGATACACTTAAGTGTCAGGTTCTACGTTGCGTACGACTATTTGGCCAATGTAATACTGAGAGATCAGCGTAAACAGTGAAGGATTTGGTGTTTGTTCTAACAAAGTAAATAACTAAAAAATGATAACTCCTAAGACTATTATAATATATACTCTTGTTGCATAATTATTAAATAATTGGACTATGATGTTTCTATGTTCCGTTGATTGTAAACTTTCGTTTGACCCGTTAACTATTCCTATAAGTCATATTATTTCTAGTTTAATGTTAAGTCAACTTGCCCAGTTTCACCGCCCGTTTTGGCCTATTTATGTACAACTATGATTTTCTATTTTATGAGGTGATATAGTCTAGTGTACTATGTATGTAAACCAATGACTATTCAAGATAGGTACTGAGCTTGGTTACGGTATTCACTTCGGACTCAAGACTGGGGATAGAATATACTGTGTATTAGTGAACCAATGAGAGTGAAGCTTATTTCAACTTAAGTTCAGTTTAATTGTGTGTGTCAGAGAGTACCAATGGTCAAGGTTAAGGACGCTAGGATGTAGATCGAATAGCAGACTCGGAATAGAAAAGAATTATAATCGGAATTCCGATTGGTGAACTTAGAAAGTGATAACGATTAGCACCTCAAGGCAGCAATAATATCAATGCCTATCATTAAAAGTAGACATATTTCATATTATCACAATCAGATTGAAACATTAATAAGGTGTAAAAAGTGAAAAGTAGTAGAAATAACAATAATGGAAAATTAAGGACATATGGCATCTAATTTGAAGAATAACAACAACTGATGAAGTAATATTACAACTTAAGTGATTTCATCGGAGATAAGGAATAAATTAGTTTACATTAGTAATACAATCGAATGAGATACGTCACCTCGGGTTTCAAACTAGAGATCAGTATTATTTTGCTCATAAAAGTAACCAGAATAACTGAGAACCTGTCAATACGACTCAGTTCAACACTTAAAATGATTTTTATCAATCGATGTGATATTTCCTATTTGGTTGTGTTGGGGTGATCCAGAAAACTTCTCGCAAAAGACAAGAAAGGCTCAGGAAACATTAAGAAGCATTTCATCCAATCATCGTTCACATGAAGTTTTAGCCAGGAAAATCAAGAAAGTAAAGAGGCACATGTAGAGATTCTGATTGACTGATTACTATACTGCTACTATGTTTAGTAGCGTTCCAGAATTTTCGGGAAACCCAAGGACATCGAAAATATTATAAAAACCCTATATTTTCTGTACTAAAACGAACCTTTGGAGTAAAGTGCTCCTCGCATATTCTGCGCCTTTTCTCTCGTGTTCAGGTCGCTGTGTAGTTCTAGCTTGGGGGTTACGAGAATAGCTTAGGAACCGAATATAGCGTTCAATTAGCAAGACTTATCAGGTTGTCGCTGGTTATTTTTTAAATCTCTCATCCGACTATTATTTATTAGGTAGATAATGGATAGGCATGTATGTGTGTGTCCTATATACCATAACTAGCTTTAACAATAAAGATTTACAGCTTTATTAGCCAACTCCGCCCGGAGCCCCTCTGGGGCTACTGTCGGTCCCAAACCCGGATAAAGGAGGAGGGTTGAGCATGTGGTTAGCAACCCCGTCCCGTAGAAAACTAACTCGACAAAAAACAATTCAAACCATTTAAACTGTCCTGGAAGTTAGAAAGTCTTCATTTAGAAGAGCTATGATGCCTCATGGTGAAAGCCGACTTCATTTGGAAGTCACGAGACTGATGCCCCTCCTAACAACCAGAGCAACCATTAATTTAAGTACATGGAATGCTCGTACCATGTGGGAGACCGGAAGAGTCTTCCAAATTATTGCAGGAATGAAGAGATACAACCAGGAGGTGCTTGCAATCAGTGAAACACATTGGTCAGAATTTTCAATACAAATGTCAAGAGTTCTACTGTATGAAGCGGAAACCTACAGAACTACGAAAGCCATCATCCAGAACATACAAGTGTTTGTTAACAGTTGTCTTTGCAAAATACTTAGGTTCCGTTGGCCAGATACTATCATCAACAAACAACTATGGGAGCGAACAAACCAGATCTCAGAGGAGGAAGAAGCGCTGGAAGTGAATAGGATGCACATTGAGGAAAGCACCCAAATGAGTCACAAGGCAAGCCCTCATATGGAATCCTGAAGGCCAAAGAACACATTACATCGATAAACGGAGACAGAGATGAGAGGAATGAACAACAATTGGATAGAACTAGGAAGGAAGGCCCAAGACAGAGTGGGTTGTAGAATGCTGGTCGGCGGCCTATGTTCCATTGGGAGTAACAGACGTAAGTAGGCTTTATTAGCCATTGTTATTTTATAATCTAAAATACTACTTATTCAATTATTTTGGTAGTCATCACTGACAAAATATCAAAAGTTTATGGAATTTCTTTAACCTTCAAAAACTCGATCATATTTTCACTAACATTGATCATATATAGAACGTTTTAAAATCTTCAGGTGAAACAGATGAAGTTAATAGGTACTTGGTAAGTGATAACAAGTGAGAAATTTATGAAGATAATAAATCAATTATTTCATTCAATTACATTTTTTAAAAACAAATAATCATACCTTTTCTGTTTTACCACGACTAGCAACTGAAGTGACCAATAGTAAAGCTGCATCTTTTGAAGTCCATGCTCCACCATTTGGTGTATTTGTATATTCATTTAATAAATGTTCAATATATGTAGCGAAATTTGTTACAACAGCACCTTCAAACGCTTCACATAATACATGAACTAGATTACATGCTGCTCTTCGACGTGTTTGTGCATTAGAACCTTCTAAATCTAAGCGAATATATTCATCAGGATTTTCAGTGAATAATTCTTCGTCTAATGCTTTAAAAGAGTAAAATTGTCATACAATGGATTAAATTTTAAATTAATAGATTAGATTGTCTAATTATAATAATTGTAAGTAAAACAAGTATAATCAATATAGTTCAGTGATGGTTCAACTTTCCACTAATAGATCTCACATTAGAATCTTGTACAGTCTACCTTGATTTGAACAATCGGATAGTGTATCACTAGCTTTTACACATCACTAGTATGGATTAAAGTAAAGTATACAAGTCTGAACCTGATTGCTGAGTTAACATTATAATACTAGTGAAACAAGACTGGAGGATACAGAGGATTAGCTTGGACTAACTCAAGTCCCAATTTCTTTCACAACATCTCAAGATTGTTAGTCACATACAGCAAAACAAATGACGGTAGCATTAAATATTCTGGTAAGTATATGTAGTACCATTTACTTCACTAAATGTATGTTTGACTTTTTACATAATCCTTAATTCATTGGCAGCCGCCAGGAAGGTAAATAAATTTTACATATTCACAGGAAAAAACAACAAGGTATTTTCATGAGAATTTGTGATGAGTCCAGTACATTAAATACTTACGACAGTGACTTTTCAGCTAGTATCTAACCTAAAAACACTCTTTAGTTCGTTTATATTGAACAGAACAGGTGATAAGAATAAAAATGAAGCATTACTCAGAAGTTTAGTAGAGATCAAAGAGTTCTGAAAACTTCTGAACAAAGAAGATCTTCAAATTAGTAATAACTTGAATGTTTGTCTAATCAGAACATGGATCAATTTACAAAATGTACTAAATACTCTGAGTAATGGTAATATATGGCAGAAATCAAAATGATCTAAGGGTTTACTTATGAACGGATGATACTTCTAGTTCCGTCTAAGAGAAAGTCAAGGATGTAACATTAAAAAGAGGAACAAATAAATCATATCTATCAAATCAAATATAGTGATTGTAATGTTGTATATATACAGGATAGACATGTAGACCATTGAATGGCGAAATGAAGGAATGGACAACAATGCTTAAAATATATTTTGAAATGCTTAGAAAGATTGGGAACAAGTGGGGAACATAAGATTGATTTTGAAGCTTGGATCCTTCAACAATCAGTTGTAGACATAGATTAGCACATTCTCTGGGTGTGCAACTTTGTGCTAGTGATACTGTGGTGTGAGCTACTTATATTCATATAAGTAGTATATAACGTGCGTTAAAAGAACGTAATGTCCGGCAGCAGAAGATGGCGAAGACCAAGAAAGGAAGAGCAAGAGCACAATGGAATTGTAAGAAAACGCATGTACAATGGAATGGGAGACAATGGATTAGTGTTTGCAACGGGAACAGTACAGTTTCATATGATGGAATGATATTTTGCAAATTGACGATTGACTTTATGATATTCACATTTTATTGAGATAGTCTGTAATCTTTGTGCTAAATACAATCGATTGTCCCCACCCGTGTTCTTGTTCACTACAATACTACTCGGCTGGTGAAATCAGAGTGAGGGTAATGGAGTTCGGTTCTGTGACTTAGTAACTGAAAATCGAATCCCTTTGCCGTTTCACACTATGGCTGTCGAGAACAATAACGTACGCTAAATTACTTAGTTATTTATTACGATTGAATGTCATTTGACTCCCCTTCGTTGACATAACAATACACAGATATACAGTTATCGGTTTATTTTTCTCCAACAAACACAATTTATTGTTGTCCACTATCAAAATCTGATGACATCCAGAATGACCATTATGATCTCGATCAAAGCTTTAAGCTTACATATATGATTATCAGATAAGAGTAAAATATATACACGCACACAATATATCACTTTGTCTAGTATAATTCGAACATATTTCATATTAAATGACCATAGAAAGCCAAATGAAACATAATTTTATTTAGTACAGTTTTATTTTAATGACCTTATTCATCTTTGATCATTTTGAAGCACGGAGAACAAATGTAAGATTTTCAGATACAAGTCATTAATCAATTAATTTAAACACATAAATACTGGTACAAGGGGGCACTGAATACATATGCGCCACATAAATCTCTCTTGATATGTGTGAGGGCTGTGATATTGCGCGGGTGGCCAAACCCCGAAGCAGGTGGTTTTATTAGGGGGCCACATCCAGAGCCTTTGACCTAAAGGTCTAATCCACAAGGCAGTGGAGCATCGTAAGGAGATGCAGTCCCATGGTAGCCGGTGACCAACGATTGGTTCATACACCATTTGTTCCTTCAGGATACTGAAGCCCATGTGCACCATTGGTTTAGAATCAGTGTTTTCCAATTTCGCTAGATCGAGCGTCCGTGTCCACCGACCCGGTTTAAGCGCCAGACACTCGCTTTTCGTTCTCTCAATTTCGTAAACAACAGTAATGCCACGAGTAGGCGATGAGCAGGACATCCCTGGCAGAAGCTTTATACGCGAGACGTTAAGCAGACTTTCCCCACTCATGGCCGTGTACCAGGGCATTAGAAGGAAGATACATTCTTATTTTGGTATTACTAATATAGGTGACAATACAAATGAGATGGATAAAATCCTATTAGGAATTGATTCAATAAATAAATAAATAAACTATTATTTACCTCTAAAATGCATATTAGGAAGAATAACTTTTTCACAGAGTTTTTGTAATGTTTCAGGATTTTCAAATAAATGTCTATGCTGTGGACGAGATATGACACAGCTTAAAAATCCAATTGCATTTCCAATAAGCTAAATTATAAATTTAGGAAGAAATGAAAAAAGAAGCATAAATATTTAACAGAATTTTATATAGGTGTAAAGATTTAGCTCTGAAGTAGACCTTATTTTGTGTGTAAAGGTTAGTCATTTTTACTAACATTATCCAGCTGCACAACTGGAAGTTGTTGGATTAAAAATCTGGGATTTTATTCGTTGGAAGTTAAGTGATTCAATCGACTAGATCACTGTTTCACTCAGAATTATATGTATGCATATAAGTCAGTTCGTTGCAATGTAGAATCTGGTGTGTATTTACATCGGTTCAAGTTGTCATACCCAATCAATACACAGGATGAAATTGTTAGGAGGAATTACACAGTAGATATATTACCAGTGTCAGTCGTGACAGAATGAACATGGCATCGCAGATTCAAGAAAAGATAAATTAGTGGAATAAAAAACATGAAAAGTTATGAGGGATTCTGAAGCTCAGAACTTGGAGGAAGACAAACAATGAATGCATCTGCACTATTACGAACGGACTTGAACCATGTCATACATTACCACCATTGAAGTAACTACCTCTATGAATTCGGTGTTCATCTTGTTATGCTAATGAGGTATGGTAACTTGGACCGATGCATATATGTGCCTGATCCTACGTTGTAGATGACTGACCCCCGTTGATCAAGATTTACTACCTCACTAACCGATTTGTCATATTTACCTAGTACCCTATTCTTAATCAAGACATTGCTCACCCCGTGATCCCAAAATACACGAGCAATGCTTCGAAGACACCTATAATCAAATATTAGTAACATAAGGACATTTCCGATTATTGATGACCCTGTTTCACTGCTGCGCAGTAAACTTTTCCTTTGGTTTGCAGACAGATATCTCGGCTACGTCACAAGTGACGCGAGTTGGCAAAAGCCAATCAAGCTTTGCAAATCTGTGACAAGATTTTGTCAGACCGTAGACCTTTAGGGCTGATGAGACTCCCAAGATAAGTGAAATGGTCGATACATTCAACTAATTCATTTTACAAGATATGCTTTAGGTGAAGCAAACACTCATCAAAAGACCTGATGAATCCAGAAATTGAGAAATTTTGTGATAAGTAATTTTTAATGACCAACTAACTGTCACACAATGTTTTCGACTCGATCTTGTAACATCGATTGATTCCGCTTCAATCAAATTGGTAATGACATAACAATGAAATACCTATTCTATGATAGGATCCTAACAAAGTATAGTGTAACACAATACCATAATTGTTAAACGAATTTACGCCCAAAGAAGATAAGATTACTGATCGTTTGAAAGAGAGTTTTGTAATATTCCCCAAAAGGCAGTTATACTACTCAACAAACCATTAATAAGTAATTGATAAATGATCTTGGAGAGTAGAGAACAAATGCTTTAATCACTAATGATCCATGCAGCATTGTAACCACATTAGCATATTACAAAATAAAATAATAATAATAATACTTACCAAGTCATATTTTGTTTGAGCACTAGTACCTAATAACATTTCCCATACATCAGTAACAAAACCAGGAAGATATGAAGCAAATTCTGGTTCATATTTTGATGCATATAAACTAGCATTATCACAAATTTGTGATTTAATTTGTTCAACTAAAACTGTAGCATTATTATTTTCATTTGTTTCATTGGTTAAATTTAAAGTTGATGCATTTAATTGTAATAAACTACGAAAAAATGTCATCCAATCTTGTATATTATCTTCGAAAAATTCTGGTAAATCCTGAAAAAAATGTTAAAAATAAGAAGATTGTAAGAGAGAGAATATAAATGGGGACTAGACAGAAACACATAAGATGTGATAGTCAAACTTATTACAATTACATAAATTAACTTCCACACATTGGGAATAAACGATGATAGATTGAAACCTCTGTCCACTTTTCATTTATTCATGGCTTATGAAGGTTTTAGGATAGGGATAGGTATTAGACCACAGATATCCTCAAAGTATACTGATGTATGAAGACACTAGATAAGATTATGAGTAGGATTTCCGATAGAAATCTCAAATCTATTGATCAAGCCTAGTAGACGTTCATCAATTTAGGTGGTTTAAACACATTTAACTACAATCCACTAGGACACGCAATGGTGGCTGGTGTACCAGTAGGTTGGGAAAAGTACAACAAGGATAACCTCATGATAAAAATATTATTTAGACTTCATTGTCTTTCCTTTTTTCAAATTTATCTCTTGGTACGTTAATGCAAAGTGTGAGACTGATGTGGATTGATATCAAGTTTTTTGCTAACCATGCGTGACTGGTTATACGCTTTCGTATTATCGTCGAACATAACAGGGTATGGAACCTTATAACGTGCCTATTATGTCTTGGAACCGCAGACTATTGTCATATACCAAGTTACCAATCAAAATGCTAACCTTAATTTGGTTTATTTTACGTCTACTATTTACTCGAGAGAAGTAGTAACCAGACTCTACGATATTTACATTTCAAACAGAAGTGGTTTATATACGGAAATAAAAGATCGCGCCACAGAGTAAGATGGAAATTAATAATTATAGATAAGCAAGCCAAAAGTATGGGTGGGTGAGGAAAGCTGTAAATAATCGACCGACAAAAGATTGTCACTTACTTGACAATTAAGACTGAGAAATATTTTACAGACTAGTAGTAAACATTGAAGAACTGTAGTTAAACGTGAGGCATCTGAGATCCGATTCGCTCCAATAACCAAGGCAAGGAGATTCTGTATGCATATTGTAGTTAATAGAATCACAAAATTAAAATTAATTAACAACATTTATATACAAACGAAGTTAGGGGTAACTGCGGAAATAACTTCTACATTTTCTCAAACAATACGACTAGACTCATTGGTATTCATTGTTTGAATCTTCTCATTAACGTTTAAGTAGTTAGGTGGATAACGCGTTAGCGTTTGAAGTGAACGATACTAGCCTCGAGACCCGGAGTAGATACCAACTCTGGGATGCAGGTATACTTAACTGACGAGGCCCAAATGGGACGAAGTGGGAGTCCTGAATTCCACTGCTAGCCGCCATCTATCTCTGACTATAATACGACTGTTAGTGATGTAGACAAAAAAGACCCTACTTATTTAGTATATACTGTTGACAAATCCAGTTACTGACATCAGGGATATAGAAAAGTGGGATACAAGTGTCTAGGATGTTTACATTTCATGCGTTCATTTCAACAGACAGAAATAAGAAGCGAAGAAGGCATACGTCTACAAGTCTACTCAAAATACTAAATATTACATGCGTAAATATAAATGAAAATAGATTGTGTATAATGAGGCAAGGAAACCGGCATTGGATGAAAAAATAGATATACAGACACACAAGTAAACATGAGATGCATAAGTGTAGAATTATAAAGGCATGAATGTAAGAGGGATATGCGCTGAAGGTTGTGACTTCTCATACAATAGTGTCCACGAAGGTAAAAATGACTTAATACATAAACACTGGCTGAGTTACTCGAGTCCATCTTATAAATCATGTGTGTAATAGTATTTAATACTAAATGATCACATAGACTAACAACTAAAATATAGATTCGTCATTTGTATCTATCTAACTTGAGTTCACATAAATTAATATAGACTAAAAATTTATATAGCATAGATGAAGGTGGCTAGCAAGGGAATCTAGGACGCGCGTTCTGTTCAATGCGAGACCAATCAGTAGGATTTTCCTGCATCCCAGAGGTGATGTTAACCCCAAGTTCCAAATCTGGGGTCCAGGTAATATACTTGACCAGTCCTAAATAGGACGAAACCCCGGTTTTGTATTCCGCTGCTAACCACATTTCATCTATTCTATATAAGCTTGCACAGGATGCGCACATCTCAACTAAGACCAATCAAACCACTTAAAATACCAACGGCGGGATCATCTGAATCATTACAAATCCAATTAATATATTAGAACTTTTTAAACAATTTCCAATAATTAGTTCATTACAGAAATCAAATCCAACTACGTTCATTGCTTTAAACTTCATTTTACTCAAATGTTGCATATTTTATTTAATTGATAAAACTATTCACCAGGTACTGGGACATGGGCCATACTCCAATTGTGAAGGTTGCTCAAATCGAAGTGGAGGAGTTCAAATCTGCGATTTATTGGCCGAAAAAGGAATGCTTTGCTTACTGAGCTGATGGAAAGTATCATGGATTATGTGATAAGCAACTACAAGTACCACCACTATGATTATTATTTATAGTACTTGTTGCTGTGGGAATTCAAAAATCATACAACCTGTGGTTGTAATTATACGAGTCATTTGATAAATAAGTTGATATTTATATGACCTTGGTGACGAGAAGCCGCTTAGGCGAGACTATAACTTATTGACAAACTAATACGATTTAAGATGAGTCTTGTATTTTGGTACGAAGTTCATTCATTCATATGGTCCAATAGCATTTTGTCATTATAGCTGATGTCAGCTCGTGATGACAACTCGAACTTTGACTTCCCTCAAATGCCCTGATACGACAGAGGGTGGGGAAAGTCAGCTCCCCTTCTCCAAATGCTCTCACATGGCCACCCGTACACAGATACTGCTGGGGTAGTCCTACTCACTGCATTCTCGTGGCATCACTGTTCTTTACGGAATTGAGAGGACGAAAAGCGAGTGTCTGACGCTTTGACCTGGTTGGTGAACACGGATGCTTCACCTAGGAGAGTTGGGAAACCCTGATTCTAAACCAGTGGTGCATATGGGCTCCAGGATCCTGAAGAAACAAATGGTGTATGAACCAATCGTTGGTCGCCAGCTAACATGGGACTGCATCTCCTTACGATGCTCCACTGACTTGTGGATTAGACCTTTAGGTCGAAGGCTCTGGATGTGCCCCCTAATAAAATCACCTGCTTTGGTTTAGGCACCTGAGTAGTATCAGAGCCCACACACAAGTGACTTGTGTGGCGCATATGTGTTCAGTGCCCCTTTGTACCAATATTTGTGTTCAAATAAATAAATAGGATTATCCTAACTTCTAACTTAAAATCTGATTTCTCGCACTAATTTACAAAGCTCATTAGATCCTAGTAGAGTGAACTTGCTCAAAATCACTTCGGTGTTGCTCAGTGGTCATCCCACAACTAAAGAAGATTAAATTCGAACTATGGACGAATGACTTGTGAGTGAAAATAAACATCCAAATTAATTGAGTGCCATCTATAATTGTTATATGAAAGCAGAATGCAATAAAATTCTGTCGTAGTCAAATAAACATATTCAAGGTGAATTTAACAGAGATCAAGTTTAAAAACAGAAGACAACTTAAAAATGACAATAAGACGACTATAAATATTCGTTGTCGAGTTAACTATCAGAGAAAATTTACACACATAACTTGATGTAGGAAAGTTATTTTGGCCTATTCACATTTCTGAAGTTCGAAGCTACAAGGAAATAACTAAGAGGTATACATAATTAGTTTAAATCTTGATAAATACATACATGATCAAGTTGAATTTTAGTGAATACGAGAAAATCACATAATAACATGTATGTGAAGCTCTCATTAATAATAATGACATAAATATACCTTAGCAAGTTCCGTAAGTGGTGCACCGAATTGACCAATCACAAGTTTCATTTCTCTGTACAAATCTGGACCAGCGCATTCGTGACGATATCTAGCAAGATTAAACAACGTATAGGATGGAATAATACCCCGTCGCAATATATGTAACGAAAGCATGAAAAAAGATTTAGATAATCTTGAAACATACATGATATTTATGTGCCATTTCTATATTTAGGTTTGTGAAAATCAATTTTCCAAAATTAGATTTAACTAGTTATTATCATTTAATACAATGAAAACCTTGTAGACTTGATTCATAATAAATGAGGAATTTGGATTTAGTTGTCTGATACTGTGAATTATAATGGCTTTCATACATACATGAAGTGGAAATTTCAGTGATAGCATGATAATTTGAAAAATAATAATAACCTCAGTACATAAAGACTACAAGACTAGACAAAAAGACAAAATGTTTGGTAGGAAAAAGCTTGTTACCAAACCAGTATAAATAGTCGTTTTGATCGTCAAAAATCGAACAGTAAACAATGGTAAAGACAGTTAAGTTAACAGATTAGAGTTCTATTTGGAATATAATATAAAACCATAGATACCTTTTAAACAATGTATGAGCCGTATAAAGAACTCCATGGACCATATTTAAATCTGCGCCAAGTTGTGCCATTCTTTGCACTAATTCAGGTATCAAATTCGGCCATTTTTCTGGGAAATCCTCTCGCCAAATTGTACTTATGGCTTCGGAAAGTTGCGATTGAATATTCCCTGCTACAGAAAGCATAGCTCCAATAATTTGATTGCGTAATCCATCACGATCAGATGCATGTATACGATCTGTCTCATCTGAGTCCTAGAAAATGAATTATGATAAATCTTTGTCAGTGATAAGATAATTATACATACATAGAGGTGTTATGATATATTAACAACTAACGATCTTAAACACTCGGTATACACCCACGAAACCCATTATTTATTTACTCATTACAATAACCGTCGCGATCGGAAGTGATAGTAAGAATATGTAACTTACAAAATACCATTTAAAAGATAAAGCGTAAGAGTCAGTTATACAAAGCTCAGATACAATCAACGATTCAGGTTAAGCGGTACAGTTTGATGTAAGAACAAATTAGGATGATACGAAGTATGAAAGTGAAAAGTAAAAGACTAATCATTCATACGCGAATGAACGACAATGGTAGCTCCGCACCACAATAGTTTAACTGTGCCACAAGGTAGGGGAAAATCTAGGACCACTATGACCTCACTGAAAGAAAGACGCAGTGAAACACTTAGGTAACAGACTTTCGTACTTGAACAACTATGTAGTATCAAAGACAACCCATGGGTAATCACAAGAGCATATGGTACTTACAACTTGCCAGTGATTCTTGATGAAGTTTTTCAAAGTGATAGCTGCAGCTATTCGTGTTGGGGAAGGGACATTCGGATCCTGAAGAATATGGAGCAAGCATAAGCAATACGATGGGCGTAGTTCTACAGCCTTCAGATATGCCTCTGCTGATCTTCTGGTTTCTCTTTCTGGTGAAACAGTATGTTGTAAACAGTTAGTTAATTCATTTATGAATGATGGATCCATACTAGAACCCAAAATTGCGAGGCGTGCGCGGCACCTAGAAGCAAACTTGAATACTTTGCGCTAAGTCCAGTGTCCAATAGTAAATTTTTGTGAACACATACAGTTTCTTATTCGAATTTTTGCAATAATATCTGTTATCCTTTACTAAATAATCTTAAATTTTTCGTTCACTACCTTGAGTTTAACAGAGACACTACGGGATATTATTGTGTGACTTTGTGAGTTAGATAGATATTCATATCCCCCAAAAGACTGTGGGATCAAATGAGTAATGAAGGTCATTCTGCACTGGAAGAAAACCAACATAAGATGATAAGATAACATGAATCGGTGGAGGATGGTTAGAAAGTACATGGAACAACTAAAAAGGAAGTAAACTTTCAATCAACCGCAATCACTAGGCAGATTAGATCAGAGAATTCCGATATATTGGTAATCGCAACATACACTCTTCCGATCTCCTCGACTCTGTCTTTTGATTTTCTCTGGGTGGGAACGAAATATATTAGAAGGTGTTACTGGTAAAAGCGTTGTCAAACACTGAATACCTGTGACATCATCATTGGTGAGACCGACGTGATCTGGTACATCTTATTGCAACTGTGAGTCTGTTCCTTATTGGGATTTTTATATATCATTGCCTTATTTTTTATTTTTTTAAACATTGTGATTTTTTTCGTATTTTTTCGTGGATATATATATATTTTCCCCTCGTTCATTATCGTACTTCATATTTCATCATGACTAAACAGACACCTAAAGTACTCAAGCTTAAGACCTTGTCCCCACCTTCGTTTCAACTGATGTCTTTCTGGCCCGACAACATCGAAGCCTGGTTTTGCTACGCAGAAGCCGACTTCTCCGAGCACGGCGTGATCGACACACGTGCACAATTCCTCGCAGTAGTCAAGGCACTACCGCGCGAATTCAACAGGTACGTAACACCTAGTATGTTTACTAGTGATGTTTCCGATCCTTACGAAATCTTAAAACGCTCGATCCTTAAACGAGGAGACCTAATCGATCGACAAAGGTTAGATCAACTCTTCAACAACATCGACCTGCAACACGGTTCTGCGACGGACACGTTGCAACGGATGAGAGACGTTATAGGCCCAAGAACTTTCGACGAAGGTCTATTCAAACAACTCTTCTTGTCAAAACTTCCCCAACAGGTGCAAGCAGTTTTGGTCTCGTTCCAGAACAACGCCCTAGACGAGCTAGCTGCATCTGCCGACCGCATTTTAGAAATTACGAAATCTACTACCGAGGTATTTTCAGTCAAAGAAAAACCTCAAAGGACTCAGAATGATATAAAGGACTTATGTCACACACTCACGCGTTATCTTAGTCTTCGTACCGACTGTAAGAGATCGCGCACACCACGTAGAAGCATTGCTCGTAAGTGATCTGTCTCTAGACCACGAGAGACAGATAACCCCGACTGGTGCTGGTATCATAACCAGTATGGAAAGTTTTCCAGAAATTGCAGAAAACCCTGCAATTTTCCCAACACGAAACCGACTGACTCGAAAAACAATTCGGGAAACTTCCAAGCCGGCACGCGTTACCGGTAACTGTAGCCGGCGAACATAGCCGTCTGTTATACGTCACAGATGTGACAACGACAGTTCGCTACCTCGTCGATACTGGCGCAGAAGTTAGCGTTCTCCCAGCAAATCCTAACGACCGACTTCACGAATCGAACCTAAACTTACAGGCGGCAAACGGAAAGCCTATCGCTACGTATGGCAAAAGGTACGTTTACCTTAACGTGGGTTTACGCAAACCCATTCACTGGATCTTCGTTGATGCAGATGTTACTATGCCAATCATTGGCATGGACCCTCTACAACACCATAATCTGATCATCGATCCGCGCGAATGGAGGCTAGTAGACGGAAACACTAATTTATCCGTTTGCGTAACTTCTTTTTCTGGTTGCAGATTATCCCCAGTCACAACTAAGCATACGATAGACCCACTTTATCAACCGCTACTCGATAAGTATCCTGGGATTCAGCAAACGCAACCAAAACTACCGTATGTAACCAGCAACGTTACACATCACATCATGACTACAGGACCACCTGTATTCTCTAAAGCACGACGACTAGCTCCTGAAAAACTAAGGTTAGCGAAAAACGAATTCGATCACATGATAGACTTAGGGATCATACGATCATCAAATAGCCCATATGCATCTCCGTTGCACATGGTCCCTAAAAAGGACAGCGACGATTGGCGTCCAACTGGTGACTATCGGTGATTGAACGCGAAAACCATTCGCGATCGTTACCCGTTGCCTCACATTCACGATTTGACAGCTACCTTGAAAGGTACAACTATCTTTTCAAAAATCGACTTGGTTAAAGCGTATAACCAAATCCCTGTGGCTACTGACGACATACCGAAAACAGCTATCATAACTCCCTTCGGACTCTATGAATTTTTGCGAATGCCTTTCAGTCTAAGGAACGCTGCTCAAACATTCCAAAGATTCATAGACGACGTTTTTCGAGGTCTCAACTTCGTACACGCGTATGTTGACGACTGTCTAATCGCAAGTCCGGACAGAGAAACACATCTCAAGCATCTGGATCTTCTTTTCGGACGACTACAAAAACATGGCATTACTGTAAACGTTCAGAAATGCCGATTCGGAACCGACTCATTAGACTTTCTGAGACACACTATCGATGCTCAAGGTATCCGACCCCTTAGAACCACAGTGGCGGCCATTCTGGATTACCCAGAACCGACCACCGTCAAGCAAATACGCACGTTTAACGGCCTCGTAAGTTTCTATAGACGTCTCATACCGAAATGCGCATTACTTATGAAACCTCTGACCGACCAACTTCGTGGAAATGCGAAATTTATTAATTTGGATGACACCGCACGAAAAGCATTCTCCACAATTAAGGAACTGATCGCTAAAGCAACAATGCTCGCACATCAGGACACCGAAGCACCCATTAGTATCGCAGTAGACGCATCCGACTCAGCAATCGGAGGAGTCTTACAACAATGGGTTAACAACTCCTGGCAACCTTTGGCATTTTTCTCTAGACGGTTGCTAGACAGTGAATCGACGTACAGAATATTCGGTAGGGAACGTCTAGCTATGTATTGTGCTGTACGACATTTTCAACACTATCGAAGGCCGTGAATTCACTCTTTTCACGGACCATAAACCGCTCACTTTCTCGTTAAGCTCTCCTTCAGACAAGTACTCTCCCTTTGAGTCTCGACAACTGGACTACATTTCGCAGTTTACTTCAGACATTCAACGCATCTCTGGAGCAAACAATGTAGTTGCAGACGCCTTATCTCGCATAACTTCCTTGAAAATTTTCCAAGGAATCGACCTTCTTAAACTCACCCAGCTTCAAAAAGAAGACACTGATCTTCAGCACGAGTTATCGTCTACAACCCTTAAACTGCGCATCAAACAGATGGGAACAGGTAAGGAAACTTTACTGTGTGACACATCTACAGGTAGGGATTGCCCAATCGTGCCGAAACATTATCGACGCAATGTCTTCAATACATTGCACAAACTTTCTCATCCAGGTGTTCGTGCAACCATCAAGCTTATAGCAGAACGGTTTTGCTGGCCTGGCATGAATAAAGACGTGAGGGATTGGGCACGCTCCTGTGTAAGCTGCCAAAAACCTAAGGTCATAAGGCACAATAAATGTCCCTTAGGCTCATTTAAAACTCCCGATGCTCGTTTCGATCATGTTCATCTGGATTTGGTTGGACTTTTATCAGATTCAAATGGATACTCTTACCTCTTAACCTGCGTAGACCGTTTCACTCGATGGCCAGAAGCAGTACCTATCAAGGACATCATTGCTGAAACAGTGGCCCGCACCTTCGTCGAACGATGGGTGGCAAACTTCGGCTGCCCTTCAACCACCACCACAGATCGCGAACGTCAGTTTGAATCCGATCTTTTCCGTCGTCTGACCACACTTTTAGGAATCACTCGCTGCCGAACGACCGCCCACCATCGACAAGCAAACGGGTTGGTAGAACGTTTTCACCGACAACTAAAAGCCTCACTATCAGCTTCAAACGTTTCACAGTGGACCGACACTATTCCACTTGTCTTAAGTAGTATTCGCAATGCAGTGAAAACTGACATTGGATACACTGTAGCTCAACTGGTTTGTGGAACGACACTTCGACTTCCAGGAGAATTCGTGGATCCTTCATCCTCTTCAATGAACATGGATCTAACCTACTACACGAACAGGCTTACAATCTCAATGCGTTCAGTTAAACTTGCTTCCACTCGACCACAATCCACCAATGTTTTCTTTCAACCTGACTTACGATATAGTACACACGTTTTCGTTCGTCGAGACTCGCACCGACGACCATTCGAATCAGCATACTAAGGACCTTTCAAAGTTCTTCAACGTGAATCTAAGTACTATATAGTCGATAAGAACGGAACAAACGATAGCATCAGCATCGATCGCTTAAAAGCAGCGTATTTAGAAGGAAATCCTATCTACGTCGATTTTCCTTTGTTACAATCGAACGACACGACTCCACTCATAATTCCTCAACCGACAACCAACACTAGCGATGATACTCCGAATGTATCTGAAAATAAACATAAAACGACGCGTTCTGGAAGAAGAGTAAGATTTCCAGAACATTTAAACGACTACTGCACGTAAGGCACTACTCGACATTTTATATTATCTCGATTTTTCTTTTTATGATATATAATATTAAAAAAAACAATTTTAATATGCCTATATATTTATATTTTTATTAAAAAAAACAAAAAAACAAAAAAAAAATTATTTTTTTAACGCTATTACGTGTGCTTGAGTTTATTTTCCATTTTCGACATTGTGTTTTTACGCACATACGAGTGTATTTCGACATGCACTTACACATTCTTTTTTCTTTTCCAGGACGGCTGGAAAAGAACGATGCAGTTTACGAGGGGTTGAAATTTTCATTATAACTTTTTCTTTTTTTACTATGTTGTACCTCGGTCCCATATAGTAAGGAAAGACGACCAGACGCTGCTACACTTAGTAAGCTATCAGAAG